AAGGAGGAAAACATACATCAGTGCATCAGATATTTCTGCCCTGGTTCCTGCTCCACTGTAGAAACACCTGCTTGTACTGACGTGTTGGGATACATGTTTAGAAATACAAGTTGAGAGACCATCCTTATAAGAAGCATTTGAAAGTCTTAGTAGAATTGGCTTTTGCTAGTGATTTTTTGCTGTATCTTTGCTCACATTAAGGCTATGTTTCCTTCAGGCTCTCTGAGTCCCTGTCATTGCCTCATCTCAGTCCGTCTGCAATCCTCATTCCCTAATCTTCACCAATGCTGTCTACATTGACATGAGTGAGTCGACATACCAGGAGGCTTTAATCCATGGTCCCTGCCTATTCCTACCACTAACTTCTTAGATTGCATATCCGTGATGCATATTTGATGGAAAAAAACTTGCATCTTCCCTGAGCTTTAGGTGGTGTGTGCAGCCTTTCACCTTTATGCCATTAACCCTCACAGTGCTGTTACTGGGATAATGTGGATAAATAAGATGACTTTGGATCTTCCTGGGAAGGTGTTGATAGCACCAGTGTGAGACCAGGGGGGATCTGGGGGTAGTCATAAGAAAATAACTGCCATAGGAAATGTGTTCCAGGTTGCTCAGCATAACCTAGGAGTAGTCAGAAAGGTCACCAAACCCCACTGGCATGTCTGATCATTTTCACTCCCATGCTCTCCCTCTTAGCTAGTCCCAAAGTAATCTCTCATGAAAGAGAAATGAACATCTTCAATTGGCATGAACAGATCCAGATGAAATTCTTCTATACATACTGCCTTGTTAGATTTCAGCTTCCTATGTCATACCAGGCAGTAGGTGCTTAGAATACAGCATCTTAGTAACATTGTATGGGAGGGAAATCTGAGCAAACTACTAAAAAAATGCTTGGGATTTTGATTTTTGATGGGAACAAAGTACATCTCGTTTTTAAGTCAGAGATTGCTCAGAATGCTTCAATTACTTATGACAAAAATGACAATGATGGATGATTTTTAGAAAGAGAAACTTAAATGAAATCTATGTAACTGACTTCCTTTTTTCTAAACAACAAAATAAGTGTTCTTGGATAAGCCATTTTAAACTGTCTGTTTACTTCTGGCATTCCTCTTTTTATACTGCCAGGTTTGCCTGTTCAGACTACTTCTGACTGGGGAGAAGTATTATTGAGGACCAACTCAATTTCTCCATTTCAGAAATCTTTCTTTCAGGTATTACAGTGAGCAAAATGTGGTCTTTTAACTACTTGACAAACTGCAGGAACATTTTGTAAGAAAAAAAAATTAGAAAAGTAAGAAGGGTGGGTGAAAAAAAGAACAAGAACTTTACAAAGTCCTATAAGGGCAAGGCCAGTGGTTTAAATGCATCCACTGTTGTGATCTTTGTCTCTCACGTAGCTCTTCCCAGCTCCGACCTTCACTTCAGTAATCCACAGTTTCTTCCTAAGTTCCTTACTTTGAGCTCATGTAGTTATTATTATAAACAGAATGACTACTAGGAGGTTACATGTAGGGGGTTTTGAGTGAAACACAATAAACACACCCTCTCCTCTTCCAGCTTTGTATCTTTGAAGTGGTCCTTTCCTGAGATGGCAGAAGGACATCCAGTCACTGAAAGGAGCTGGAAGGCAGCTGAGGGCAAATACCATGGCTGGAAGTCTGCCGCTGCTGTTGCAGAGCACTGCCAAAGGGAGACTGAACGGAAAAGCAATCAGAACCTACCAATAGGCATCACTTCCTTGATGCAGCCAAACTGTTCATGAATGAGAAGTGGTGAGCTGTAGTACCGTCGAAATCCCTTTGGCTGGAGGGAGAGAAAGCAAAAACATGTGAAGCGCATTGCTGCCATGATTGACATAGTAGAAATAACCTCAGCTCCTTGGCTAGAGGCATAGCAGAGCTTTTTTATTTCTTCTGCAAAGTGTGGTGAGACTGGAAATTTGCCTTCTGTTGTTGAGTCACTGTGGGGTGCAGAGATCAGGGTTTTATTTAATTTTTCTCCTGGAAAAAGCTAATTTCCCGTATTTGTGTGGAAAAAGGAGGAGCTCATTTCCAGCCTTTCTTTTCTTTTGTCTTACACAAAAGCAGCACTAATTAATTACAGTAGAAGTGCTGAATCATTAGATGTTCTGAGAAGTTTTATGTTCCCTTCTCCATTTCTTCTTATGTGATGTGCATTTGCACTGTTTTGCATTTGCTAAATGTGCATCTATTCTTCCCCGTGTTTTCATGTATCATTTCTTTAGGTTTTTCTAAAATTTGCTGCTGACTGACCACAGTTTCCACTCTTTTTTTTTTTTTTCTTTTTTCCCCAGCTTTACAAGGCCTAAAAACTCCCCGGGTCATCACCACATGCCCCCTAAACATCTGTTTGTAGAGAAATGCACTATAACAACTCAAGCTACATCACTAAAGAATACCCAGCATGGCCAGTGGTGCCCTATATCACTCTATAAATGATTCTAAGAAGACTGAATATTTCTTGTTATTTTCCTGTTTACCATCTCAGATTGGGAATGCTTCAGGCAAAGGCAAATGAAGGTGCTAACACCTAAGTCATTGGAAATGCTATTCAAGGCATTAGAGATTCACAAAAGTTCTCTCTGATCTCTGCAGGCTATGAGAACTTCCAGCCATAGTGAGAAGTGGGAAGGCAGCATGAGGATGTGCATCTTTTCTGTATCTTATATTCAGTATGAAAAAATTATACAGTACTAGTTCTTTCACTAATGAGCTGCAGTATGGAAGGAGAAGGAGCAAGGGGGCTGATAAATTTGGTTACTGACAGAAACAAATTCCAGATTCCCCAGCTTCAGTTTAAACCCAAACTAAATTCAGACACCACATGAACTCATAAAACTCCCATGACTCTGCTGGAATTCTTCCTGCTATAAATTTGGCCTCTTGTTTTCTGTTTTTGTACACTGATCTCCACAAGAGTTGAGGCTGGAATCAGGCAACGTGTGAAGCAATTAATGTGATTTAATATTTGGTTTGTCCCAAGCCTGCAGTGAGATACTTCCTATACCAGAAAACACCAAACCAAGACTATGATTATGCTTTAAAAGCATAAAGATTTGCTTCAAGACTATGAACAACAATAGCAATAACTGAATATACTTGAAGAGACAGTAGGTTTTCTAGTCTTTCTGAAGACAAGGCATGGGCTTTTTTAATCATTGAACATAGCAAGGCTGTTTATGCTTAGTTCAGATTTGCCTTCAGCTGACATATGTTTGCAGGAGAACCGAAATCATCTGAAAAGCAAACTGGACAATTACCAACCAACAAAGCTGTACAAGAGCAAGTGCCATATTCTGCACTGGGAGTGCAGCCCTGGACATATGTCCTCCCAAGGACGTGGGGAGAAGAGGCAGGAGAGCCACCCCCACAGAATGGGGTCTGGGGGGGTTCAGGCTGATGGGCAAGTTGAATTTGAGTCAGCAGCGTGCTCTGGCAGTCCAAACCATGCCTGGGTCAGGGAAGGGTTAGGGGCAGATTCTTCATCAGAGGGTGGTGGGCATGGAACAGGTTCCCCAGAGCAGTGGGCACGGTCCTGAGCTGCCAGAGTCCTAGAAGTACTTGCACAACACTCTCAGACATAGAGGGTTTGGATTTTGGGTGGAGCTGTGCAGAGCCAGGAGTTGAGCTTGATGATTCTTGTGAGTCCCTTCCAATTCTTGATATTCTATGGTTCTATCATTCCATCAACATGTGGACTCAGTTTTTATATTCCAACAATTTTCTTAAGCCATATTGTCATTTTTTTTAAGTCTTCCCCCCCCCCAGGAGTAACCAAATGAATCATTTTCCTGTAAAAAGCCACCAAGGTAGAATTTTTTCAAATACAGTATCCTGCCTTTGCCAACAACACAGGCACTAAAGTGCTGTGCTCCTTACAGGGCAGGGCTCCTCCAAGCCTCTCCTACGGAAAGACTTCTGCAATCTCTGTAGGGTCTCACTGTGAAATATTTTTCAGTTTTCTTTTTAAGCTGAATGATGCTTATTTTTCAGACCCTAACAGTGAAGGGAAAAAAAAAAAAAAAAAAGATTTTTCATTTGCTAAAATCCACTGAAATATTTCGACTAATTGGTAGCTTTCCCCACAGTGATTTCCGCTACAGTAAGTGTAGTTCAAATCATGGGAATTAATTCTAATATTCAGCTCAGTTTAGATTATGTAACTGTGTTTTCAGCTAAAAGCCAGCCAGGGGGTCTGACCCACAAAGCAACGTGCCCCCAACTGCACTTGCAGCCCTGGGCTGCTTACTTACCAGCTTGCCCATGCAACGCTGTTGTCCAATACTGTCTGCACACTTGTGGTGGATGCTCATCTTACAAGCCTTACAGCGCAGTCCGTGCTTAGCATTTGTCCCTGTGAAATGCAAGGAAATGATTTGATTAGACAAAATCAATAGTTTCCGTGCACTTAACAAATTTCCATGCATTTAATGAACGATCTGAAAGAGCTAATAGGGACGTCAGTGGTGGTAGTGTAAATACTGATGGCTAACTTTGCCTCGCTTGCTTTTTAATGCATGTTTATACATGTTCTTTTTTCTTTTAAAGTCTTTTCATTTCAGTCACTTATCCTCCAGGCTCCTTCCCAGGCTAGTGCTGCCTTTAGATATCTATTAGATTAGGCTCTGTTGTGTGATAGTGTGAGGATGCTGAGCCAGCTTCCTTAGCGTTGCCTATTGATGTACCCAAGGGACTGCCACTGTTGCTTCTTCAGATCAGTGTCCAGTGGCGTGCAGGAATTGCTCCTTGCACATCTGTGAGCTGGGCAGCAAGGATGACATAAACCTGATTTCATTCTCCTTCACTGGCAATGGAAAAATCTGGTGACACGGCAGGGAGCTTCGGCAGAAATACTGCCATGCAGAAGCAGAAGACTTCTCCCAGTACTGGAGAACAGTAGCTCTGAATTACGCTCACTGTGGACCTACTCTGAAATAACACAGTATAGTCTGTCTTCCAGGAAGAAACAGTCACTCTTATTCACACACCCATAAGACTTCCTGAACTACGTAATAGCAGTTAAGCTGCAGCAACTCTTTTTCTTTTGCCACAGGACTGTATTAAATGGGGTGAGTAAACAGCATGTCAGTTCATTGCCATCGACTGAATAAGAAACAAGGTAGTAAAAATAAAAACAAAAAAACCTCTTGACATTTTAAACTGGCCCTCATTAGTCAGACGTGATAGGAATATTAGTCAGAGGAGTCAGAAAATCCCACATCTGAAAGTACTCATGTAGATCTTGATTATTTGAGTAGTTAACATCATGTACACGTTGCTGACTGAATTCAGCGAAATGCTGCTTCTAAAAGAAGCACTCCAGGGTAAGATGTATCAAGTTGGTGCCAGAAAATGAGCCTTATTGAGACCACTTTCAGGGGAAGAGGTCCCTGAAGTGGCCACTTCCAAGTCAGGTGGAGGCAGGCTGCAAGAGCTGACGGTGGCTGCGCTGAGACAGGCTTGGATGTATGTATCACTTGCATGCTGTTTGCAGGTCAGGTAATCAGCAAAGTCACTGCTTTCCGGCTGAGACTGCTTAAGAGCTGAGCAGTGAATGAGGCTTGGCATTTTGGGGTGCACTCCAAGGGCCCCTGGGTGCAGACTGCATGACCCCTCTTGGCTGAGTCAACACATAATGCCTCACTGCTTGGTTAATGTGCAGTTAGCTTCACCCTGGGCTCTCTTTCCAGATTTACTGCAATATAGCCCTGTTGGTTTTTATTTTCTTTCCCCCCTCAGTGGTTGCACTTGGATTACTGTGCTCTGACAATTTTTCTTCCTGTTACACTTTCTTTTCAATAACAGATGCTCAAACAAATATTGACTTCTGTGGCTTTGTGCTTGTGTTGCTGAGAATGAAATGCTGTATCACCCTTTCTGATGGTCTATGGCAAACACAGAGAGCTATGAGAAAACAGGACTTCCTCCACATTGTCCTATTAGAGCTACAGGTAAGAATGAAAAAAGCAAAATGCCATCATATTTTGCATATAACAGGTACTCAAAATCAATGTTTACACTGAGTCTAATTGTCTTAGGCTGATCTGTGATGCATAGCTCTTACCTTGCTTTACATGCTGCTCCTGAGATTCAGCTGAAGGGGCAATCAGTGCCACAGTCCTTTCTGCCAGCTCTATTACGCTATTCTGCCCACATTAATATGTTACAAGCTGGATATTGGTCTTTATGTGTCATTACTGTGTGATCACAGGAGAGACACATTCGATGATGTAGCAGCACATCCAACTGATGCACAAAATGCACACAGAATGTGCTATTTAAAAAAAAAAACAACATTTTGGAAGAGGAATCTGTGGTCATGTAAGAATGAGCTACTGTCCGTCTTATACAATAAACTACAAAAAATGTAGTATTATATTTCAGCCTACAGGTAGGTAAACAGTTGCTTCAAAGAGAGAATTCAGTCACACGTTTCAGTCTACAAGAAAGATTTTAAAATCAAAATGAAACTGCCTTTAACCATCAAAAGCTTCAATCATCAATTCATTGTCACTTCTAAATACTTGGTTTACTGTGGGAATAAGCAGCTTGGAAGTAATTTGCATGTGTCTCCCTCCCTCCCTCTGAGGAATAACCAAAAGGCTTAAAGAAGAAGAGTTAATTCCATATTTACTTACCCATCATACCTCAAGCTCTGAAAAGGACATTTATATGGGAAATATTTTAATTTTCCCTCAGGATAACTCTTCCTTCTCCAGTTTCTGATCTTCACCACACTAACTCAAACCTCCTCGGAGGATTATAGCTAAGCTGTTTCAAAAGCATGCCAGAGGTTAGATAACTGCATATTGACAATGTATCTGCCCCCTGGATGCTGAGATTCAGAACTGAGGTGGAGCCACAGCTCACAGTGCAGAGAAGGACCGATATATGTGTTGCATAGGTGTGAATGAGGCCAGGATTTATACTGCAGTTAGGTTTTGCATGCAAGGCTCTGCAGTCGCTTGAATGGGCTTGTTTTTTGTAGGCATCTCTGTAGTTTGAAATGAGGAAAAAGCAGGTAGAACATGGGTGTTGTAAACAAGTTATGTGGTGCTAGGTAAGCATGTTGACAGTCATGCCAAAATAAGAGAGGTGTTTTTCATTAGCCTAAAGAGGTGGCACAGGAGATAGCAATGTCTTGAAACCCTACTGGCAAATACATTCCTCCAGAGAGCATGAAAAATCCCTCGTGAAAGTGAGGGATTTGTTCTAGGTATAATTTAAATAAAAAAAAATCTAAGTGGTATTAATGACTAAAAGTAAAAAAATGATAATAATGATGTTAATAACAATAATGATTCACTGGGGCAGACTATTTGAGGGGAACTTGGGCAGTTCCACTTGTCCTCCCAGAAGGTAACAGGGTGTGTGTGAAGTTAAAAACCACTCCGTGGTCTGCTTATTCCCACTGGGTTAATCTCTTTGCAGACTGAAATGTGGGGATCAGAGAGAATTCAGATGGTCATAGCGGTGTCTGGATGTGACACTACTCCTGTGAAGCCTGGGACACTAAAACACTCTCCTCTGGGGCTTCTGTTGGCCGTATTGCTCTCTGCTTCCTGTCCCTAAGTAGCTGGCAACCTGACTGCAGCCCGCCATTTATTCCCACTAGCAGATATTTCTCTATGCTAATTTAACAGCATAGCAGGAAGCTACTAGTATAAAGTACTCAGTGAAATGCCTTTATCCACATGGAATGTGCCAGTCATTTCCATTTGTGATGGATCAGAAATACAGGAGCTGAAGGCTTAGCAATTATGCTAAACTTTGAGCACACTAGCTTCAGTTTGCTCCAGTATTCTTTCAAAGGAGGAGGAGATTAATAGCTTTGATGGACTCTTTATCATTACCTTTAAAATATAATTATCTCCATTCATTTCTCCAAAGGCCCTTATTATGGTTACTTAATCAAATTATTACAGGTTGAGCACATTAGAACAAAAGTTCTGCTTACTCTTTTTTTTTTTTGCAGTCTTGGAATGTGAGATTTTTTTTATTCAAGGCACATTATTACCTTCAGTGAACACAGCAGTCAGTGTTCAATGAGTGGCCAGCTCTATTCAACACTCCTTCATTGGTCTGTATGCGTTTGCTTTCATCACCTCTGGAGTATCATATTTGCACTATTTCCAAACAGCAGATGATTAGTAACGTCACAGGCTTACCTGTGGGCTCACTATTTTTGTCTCTTTACGCCTTGTGATATGAACACATTTGCCAAAACTCAAATAGCATGGACCCCATTTGATGAATCAACGGTAAAATCATCAGAGGCGTCACTGATGGGCATATTTGGCCTAAATAATTGCAAACTGTTAAAACTGGGCTTTAGAATGGGAAAATACTGGATCATGTTCAGCAGATTCCTACTGCATGTAAACTTAGTAGACGACAAAGTCATGAAATACTTATAGGAAGAAAGCACACGTGCATGTGTTTTGTATTCTGTTTATTAAAGCATTTATTCATTTTCTCATAGTCAGTAAAATCTGGTATTGTTTTGCAAATGAAAAAGCCAAAACTGTCAAAAGAAACCACGTTTCGCTTGGAAGAAAATGAAGAAATTTCATGTCAGGACACTTGAGTAGCTCTTAGACTTACAAATGAGGTTCTGTCACACTCATTTTCTTCAGATACCAACTAATACATCCAGACTCCCAGTACTAAAAGGACACACTGTTTTGAGAAGCAGGCCATATTTAATAACACCTTGCTAGAAATACTCTACGACTGGGTCAGCTCCCATTTGAATATCTAAACCAGTGGCTAGGCTTTTCAGAACAGGCATGGAAAATTCAGTCTTGAACTGTTCTGATAATCTGACCCTGAATATTACCCAAAGGACACACGACATCACTTTCATAAATCTAAGCTTTTTTTGGAGGAAGCCTTAATGGGATCAGAACACTTTAACTCAGGTGAATGGAAGAATTTGAAGGCAGAGAGAAACAGATGAGACAGAAGGGGCAGAATTTGATTTCAAGGCTTTATGCCTGTCTCTCCAATAAAAGCAGTTTAGAAAGTACACTGCCTTTCAGGAGAGTGGCATTTATCTCAAGGAATGCAAATGAGAATTATATTAGTCACAAGCTTGCAAAAAGGGCACCTTTATCATCCTCTTGGCCAGCACAGCTATGGCCACAACACTGCTGGCTGGTGCTTTTTGCCTGTTGTTTAAAGACTCAGCATAAGATTAATAGCTAGTGAGTGAGAATGATCTTTGCAGCCTAAAGAAATCTGAAAGGAAACCGCAAATGCTGGTAACAGCATGACATTATGCTGAGTGTATAAAGATATCTATATTAGGCACTTGGGCTAAATTTAAAAAGAAAAAAAAAAAAAAAAGAAAGGGTAAAAATATTCAGGTCTCTATCAGAAAGAAGGGCAAAGGCATGGACTGTCATCTCCAGCTAATCAGCTAATCCAACTGCAACCCAATGAATATTTGTTGTTGTTCCAGCTGAGACGAACATGCCAGTCAGAAATGGTTTTGATTTAAAGCTTGCATAAATAAACACATTTAAAATTACATATTTTCCACAGAACTTCAACTTCTGCTGTGGGAGGCTGATAAAAATAATGAGTGCGTTGCCCCTTTCTCCCAAAGCACATTTGGAATTGTCACTGGAAAGCTGTCTCTGTGCCAGAATTTCTGGGAGATGGAGGATTTTAGGCAAGCTGGGCCAGTACTATAACAGTGAGAGGTTTGGGATGTCACCTTAGAAGGAGAAAGAGAAGTCCCTGCAATGGCACTGGTGCGTTTGTATCCATCTCAGCCTTGGTCCAACCTCCCTTCCTTCTCTCTAATTCATTTTTTCAATTAATTGTTTTTGCATAACAGCCCTGTTGCTGAAAGGATGGAGATTATCTTTACAAATTCATCTTTGGCTACTTCCTGTCCTCTGAGCTGGCTGCTGCTCACCTTCCTCCTTTGCACGGCCTCAGAGTATGAGAGCTGTGGGCAGAACAGATGACAAGAATGGCATTTTCTGAACAGGATACCCATCCCTTAAAATTAATCTTGATTCTCCCAGCTGACAGTGCAGAGAGAGCAGACATGCAAATTCCCAGCTGGCCTACAGACTGGAGCCCAACCCCATGCTTCCCAGACATCCCAGATGCTCACCACTGATAGTCATTGGAGCTGTATATTGTTGACTGACACACAAATATTCACATTACAGAAAATTACCAGTACTATTACAAATTGCCCCATTGTGCTTTCTACTGCTAAGCCCTTGACCAAATGGATTATTGAAAAAAGGGATAAGGAAAGGAAATAATCAGTTTGCAGTCTGCTGTGTATTTTTTTTAGATCGCCTACAGATAAATGGATTACAGCAGCTCTTGGCATTTCCATTTCAACAATTCAATAGGATGTTTTCCTTTTCAAGGAGAAGAAATTACACTTCACAAGTAAGCTTCTCTTTTGACCTGACTAGGTGGCCTACACTCATTTCAACACTGCAGCAAAAGCTCTCCATGCTTGACAAGTTAGATGAAAGAGTTCAAAGTACATACAGAAGAGCAGGCAAAAATCTTATTTAGGCAATTTTTCATGAGTAACGAGAACATGGGATTGACTTCAAAGATTCTACCTCCTCGTTGGTATCTTTTTTACAGTCAGATTTCCCAGTTCAAAATGTAAAGAGCTGCAAGTAGGTTAAACCTGTAGTTCCTCAGGGATGGGTACAATGTACAGGCAGATCTAAAAACACATAGGATCTATAAAGGGAATCCCTCCATTTGCATCCAAGCTGCCAGGTCTGGACCTGACATCTCATCTGGTTGGTATGAGCATCCCTTTGTCATGAGTCCAACTTGTGTCAGTCTAAACTGAATTGGTGGGAGGAGAAGACATTTGTTTGTAGAGTAGAACCTGATATCCAACCACAGTACCTGTTCTGTCCAATTAACAAATTTTAGACTATATGCCAGTGAGCAGTAT